GCTGTTGAATAGAGAACACCAAAGTCTAAAAATCACTTTTCAAAGAGAAATAATATCACTGAGTGGAGACATTAGTTATTGAATAAATAAAACTCTACTCCTAAGAAGGGCATATGCAAAAGGTAGTCATTATAAAGACATGGAATTGTTATTAACTGTTGTAGTTTAAGGTCTGGTGGTTTGGAAGATACCAGGATGTAACGGAAAGTTAGTAAAATCCCCTCTCTCTGTTAGGATAGTAAAGTCTCCTGCAATTAGCCAATAGCACCTAATGGTGACAAAAGCAGATGGGAGTAACACAATGACCCTAGGTTACAAAATGTTGAATTCCCCTGCAATAAACGCCATATTCACCATCCATCACATTGGTGCTGTGGGTTATGGTCCATGTGGCCAAGGAGGGCCACCGTGCTGGCTTCTAATTCAGGGTGCTTGCCTTGCTTGAAAACAGCAATTAACAATGTTCAGTTTTATTTAAAAAGATATTTCATTTCCTGGTAAGCTAGAAATGAAGCAAAATGTCCTAGTAGAAAACCTGTACTGTGGAAGATACTTGTTCTAGACTCAGAAAGATTTATTTTATTAAAATATGATACAAATGTTTTGAAAGGTGGTGTTTATATCAAAGAAGATGCCATAACACTGTACTGATCTACATCTTTAATCTCCATGCTTACCATTGTGCTGCTGTAGATTGTCATAGGAGTAGAAGACTGGGAACAGAAATCTAGGATAGCCATGTAAGGCAATGGTCTTAATAATCCATGCTAGTTTTAAGAGACACGACAAACAGCTGATTTAGTATTTTAAATATAAAAATCTCTAAGGTAAATGGCTAATACAGCGTGAGATAGACTTTTTAGGCAATCTGCGTAAAGTAGACATGTTAATAGTAATTGAAGCATAATAAGTATTAATACATTACATTGTTATTACATAGCTTGTTAGATATATTTCATTTAATCATAGTATGCCAAACCTTTCTTGCAATCAGACAGTACATTGTTCTTCCAGTCCTCTTCAAAAACTAAGCTAGTGACAGAATGAGTGTTCCAGTTGAGAGAGGCTGTGCTAGCATTAACAGCCCCTCTCCAGATTTGTTGCTGATCAGAGATGGCAGTAGTTGTGGCTGTGGAGCATTTCTGAAGGACTGTGGAAACATGTTCATACCAATTATTTCATTGTTCAGCTCCCTTACAGCATAGAGGGTTGTTACATGCTGAAGTAGAAACAAGTGCCCTGAATTTGTCTGTGTAATTCACCAGACAACTGAGTGGGATGGATACTTGTGATGCCTGATCAAATTTCAGCACCAGTAACTACTTGTAAAAGGGAGAATTTTTTTAAAGACATGAAATTGGCAGCTAGCTACCTAAATAATTACCACATTAAACTTTGTCCATGAGCCTTAGCTGATGGTGGGAAGCAAACTTCTCACCCCTTTAGTTGGAATGGTTAGTAAGAGTGGTTGGTCTATTGTATAGTTGTCAATCACATTATGATATAAAACTATGGCAAACATTGTGAGAAACAGGTAAAGCATACTCCTTTATTTCTGGAGAATTTGCCTTTGACATTGGAAGACCTCTCCCAACAAAGGCAGGAGAGCAGTTTTAACAGTCACTTTGTTATCTGCTGCTCAGTATCTTGCAGCAGTGCAGTGATGCTGCAGCTTTAAAACTTCCATTCTCTACATTCATCATGCAGAGTCAGGCTTTGAATGCTCTAAGCTCAGGGAAGTCAGAAATAGTTGTTCATCGTAACTTTTATTCTAACAAAGCCATAGATTTAAGGTTGAATAAATGAAATGCGTCAGTTTTTCTGGTGTTAAGAGTTTTTTGTGATTAGGATTGAGTTTTGATGGAAAAGGTAATGGTTTGAAGAAGTGACTAAATTGTCAAATTAAAAATTTTTAGTGTATGGACATTTTGGCTATATCTATGAATGTTTTGCTTAAAACTGCAATATTTTCATTTAGTAGTTTCATGGAATGGGCTTTCCCTTTGCCTCTAGTATTCTGTGATTTTATAATGCTGTTTTCCTATTTAGAGTACATGAAAGGTAAATGAAAACAATTATAGAAAATGCAGAGAGTATAATCAATTACTTTTTGTCACCTGTACGAAGAAGTGACAAAAGGGTTTTCTTTTTGAAAAATGCTGATGTCTGAATAGTAGCAATTACGTGAACCGGAGATAGCAACCCTTGTTATCATTTCTTTATAGAAATTCAACTATTTTAAGTTGTCAGTGTATTACTTGAAAATAAAGTAACTGACAATACAAATAGGTATTTGACTACTGAAAAGTCATTAGTCTGCTAATGGTTAAGAAATTAACAGATATCCTAAATGCTCCTATACAATAATGGTGACTGTCTCTAGTTGTGTTCTCACATCCCACAGGATGCGGGATTAAGGTTTCTTTGGTTGTTTTTTTCTTTTTTTTAATATTATTGTAAATATGCAAGGGCTTTAATTTTTTGAGGAGTTATTTTGTGAAGGCTGGAGTGCATATTATTCCATCTGAAATCTGTGCCCAAAAAAATGATGTTGCTATTGGGATTTTCTGTCTACTGCACACAGGGTGCAAATCCCCCTCCTCTCAAAGTCAGCCAAGACATTCTGTGAGTTTGACAATTGCAAAGAAAATTGTTAAGAGTTGGGCACACACTGACTGTGGTGCAGTAGTGTCTTGGAATGAAATAAGTGTTTTTACATCCAACATTTTTTGGGGGTTATTTATCCTAGTTTCTGCTAATCGAGTTGTGTTATCAGTGACAAAAAGAGTACTGTTAATATTAATGAGGCTCAAGACATAACAAAAAGGTCTGTGTGACTGACATGGTAAATACCACCTCCAGAAGAATCACCATGCTCAAATTTTTGTATCAAGCTCCTTAAAATGTTTCTTCCCCAGAATCCTTTTTATTTTCTCTTGATGCCACATTAGAGAGAGCAAGCTAAAAAGAGTTTGCAGGTTTAATTCTGTGATTGCAAAGAACAAAGATTTCTGAATTCGTAAAGTTTTATTTTGGCAACATGTCCTCAGAAGCTGCTAATTCTCTACATGCTTGTCTAAAAAATACAGTTCATTTTAATGTCTTGCTACTGTTTCCAATTTAGTAAAGAAGAAATTTGAGGCATTCTGGTCAATTCAATTACTCAGTTCAGTCTCTTCTCTAAATTGAAAGTAAGTTCTAGGGAACAATAGGACTTACACAAAGCATTTTAGTAAAAGCACGCTCATTTGGATTATGGATGTTTTAAAATTTAATGTCTTATATGTAATTTAATCAGAGAGGTTAAATATAGTAGTGTGTACTGTTTTATCCATTTGTTACTTTGTACTTTTGATAGGCTGATCTTTGATAGGCAATTGGGTAGTAAAAAGCATTTGGCAATTTTTGGAACATATTTTGGAAATGACAGGATTGTCTTTTATATTTTCTTTTACCATACTTTAAAAAATGTATTTTTAAGAGGCAAGTCAATACAAGATAAAATTGCCCTTCCGTCCATTCCCAACTTACAAATACCCATTCACAGGGATATGTGAAAGCAGAAGAAAAGGGTACCAATCTTCAATAGGAGGAATTAAGCCTGTATCAAAACCAAATAAACTATATTAACATTGTGGAAATTGCTGAGAAAAAGAAGTTTGACTGTTCAGACAGTATATGTGGTTGTAGAATGGATTGACCTTGGTTATGCAAAATGCATCTATATGATGGAGAGCTGGTTGATGGAAGCCAGGTTTTCAAAGATTAGGTGAAAAGAAGCTTGAATTAGTTTCTTACTACCTACAAGAGTGCAGTTATCTTCTTTCTAGAAGATATTAAGTTGGGATTGAAGAAATTCATTACACACTCAAGTCTGGTTGTTGCAACCTGGTTATTATATTCTATGGGCATTAATGTTGTGTCTGGGCTAAAGAATAGTCTGAAGTTATTAAAAACGGGTTAATTGCAGTGAGGGATGGAAGGATTAGTCAAAACAGAACTTTTTCAATTTAATCCAAAGTACTATTGAATTATTACAAATACATTTTTAACTCCTGCCATATTTCTGATGTGTTGACGAGGTCTCTATAATTGCAGCTCTCTTAGCACTTTGTTCCTTTAAAAACAGAAACTGCTGTAAGGAATTCATCTAAACTGAGAATTAGCCAAATAGAGTTGTGGATGAAAGGCACAGTAAAAAATCCCAGAGAATTAATGTAGTTATGATATACCAAATAGTATAGAGTTATATATGTATATGTTTATATATTAGTTTATACTGCTGCAGTCTTTAGTGTGATTTTAGAAAGAGTAACACACTACTCAGCTGATAATACATATTTTGCAATATCTTGCATTTTGTCAACGGAGATGTCTTGATAACATGATATGAGATAGAAAACAATTTTCAAGTGTGTGTTCTTCCTATGTATGGTTACTTCACTTATTTTTACCTCCAGGAGAACACAAGTTCTTGTTCAGAGGATTTAGGAAATGTTTTGCTTTCTATTGAGAAATTTTACTTTATTCTCTTAAGTTCCACCTGGTTCTATAGGATCATTTCCACTTTGTATTGTGAAGAAAGAGAGAAGAGAAATGTCCATATTGCCCTGTAATTGCAGCATGATGTGTTATGCATGCTGGTCAGGGTGAGATTTGCATAACAGTGTTTCTATTGGTAAATCTGATATTGCCGATTTAATTTTAGAAAGCAGATACAAGTATGCTTAAATTTGTTGTCACTTTACTGGCGCATCTGCCATTTTCATTTCCATAGTTTTTTGAAAAGTCATTTTGATAATATTGCAGCTGAGGAAAATGAAGAGTCTATTCTTTCCAGGCAATTTCATTAATGGAACAAAATATGATACGTTGTATGGTACAGCAGCATGCAGAGAGCTGTATGTATAGTTTTCAGATTTAACTTTACTTACCACATTAAAGATATGCATAGAAAGCATTTTTCTAATTTATTTTTTTTTAATCTGTTTTGTTTTCAGGCATTGCTATTTCTGATGAACTCGATAAGGTAAGATTGATAAAAGGTGTGTAGTGAGCAGTACAAAGAGACAGATGATTATGATAAGGCACATGCCACTGTCCTGGCATACATGCATCTGTTCTGTTGGGTTCAGAGGAAGTTTGGGTATGGAAAGCTATATGGGTAAGTACAATATATGTAGATACATTAAGATCTTGACCAAGGATGGGCTGTCAAGTATGGAAAAAAAAAAGTCACTGAATTTAAGAGACTCTTAATGAGACCATGGAAATACTTTTGATCTTGACACCATCTTTGCTTAATACAGTCTTTTGGATTACTTTGTGTACTTTTGGAAACATTTAGCCTTGAATAACTTTTATTCATGAAATTGAGTTCTGCATTCCCAGATATGATTTGTGAGGCTATTTAGAAATTATTTTTACTGCCTAGATTTACACAGGAATGCACAAGGCTTAAATATCAGTCTTTACCTCCTTGCTGAATGCAAAAATGATCTCTTCTGTTCTGGCCATTTTTGATACCTTACGCAGTTAACATGAATTTTAGTTCTAGATGTAATAAATTCTACATTGAAAGAGTAATCAAGCTAGGTTTACTTAAGTACTTATGAAAACAGAACCAATTTTTCTCTCGCTTTTCAGCAGTGATCAGCAGTGTGCTTCTAGTGCCAAGAAACTTGTGTTGTTTTCTTGGTGTCAGAAACCATTGCTGTCAGGAAAATGAGTTCAAAAGGTATATAAGATACAGGAATAATACCTGATATAGAGCACTTTTTTTTTTTTTTTAAATGACTTTCATTTCTGCTGGTAAAGTGAAAACAAATACTTCTGGCACAAGTACATATAAAATACCTTCACTGCATTGAACTGGAAGGCCAGTTAGGTAAGGCTGATAAATGTTACTGTGCAGTCAAGTGCATCTGTGGCTGCCGTTTCCAAACTATGGCTTAAGTCTTCCCACTGTTTCCATAACTGGGCTCAGAAGTGATGGTAAACACAATTAGAAAGTCCTTCCATTAGAACAGTCACCTATAAGAATACTTATGAGGAACTCAATTTGTTCTATTTCTGTTGTTGATACTCTTGGAGGGAGGAAAAAGACAATTTAGGCTAGACCCTGGTATCACATACTTTTTACATATATATTTTTGCAAATAATTTCTGGTTGGTTTGCTTATTTTTTTAAGCTATGACATCTTGCCAAAAACATTCATGTTTTTTAAATTTAGTTATTCGTTGTGAAAAACTGAAATAGAGAACTGAGTTGGGGAATTTCTACAGGATCCAGCTTGAGTGAAGAATCAGTGTTTTTTTGTTACTATATACTTTATTTTTTATAATTTAAAACTGGAGGGTGGTAGACTTTTTAAAATAAAACTTGGAATTAGGTTATATACATTAATAGATTATTATTATTATAAATTAATAGATTGAATGTTCTTGAAGTCAAAAGCTATTTGTACAATAAATAAAATCCCAAACAATTAAACTCTTCAGCATGCGTAATTTGTGTAATACTGCGCAACAAGCTTTCAGCATAGATTTAGAGAAGAGTGATTTTTTTTATCTCCATGATCTTTACTTAACTTCATTTCTTGTTTGACCCTTTAATTATTTTTAATTAACGTAAAATCTCGTCTGTGTTAAGAATATAAGCCTGGCCAGAACCATTCTGTGGAATCTTGCCTCCTAGGAATGATCCCTTACCCAATATAATTCCTGAAATGTTCCTGTGACTTGTTTCTACATGTATTATTTGTCTTGGGCCAAAAGCAGCTAAAGAAAACCTGATAATAGTTGCTTTAACATTAGAAAGAGAATTTGCTTCTATTTCGCCTGGACGCGTTCACATGTGATGTTTATTTTTCAGATATAAATGTAGTCAAGTTTTAATTTCTTATACATGGTGATGCTAGAACTTCCTTATCTAAACTGTGGCAACACTGAATAATTTTTGAAATAATGTTCATATGTGGTTTGATTTAACAAATGAACTCATCATGTGCATGGGTCTAGAACAGCATGGCCAAACTTGGCATTGGAATCCATTAAAACATCAGCATCGTATAGATATTATGAGAGACATATAAAACTCCCCTGTATGAGTTTCTTTGCTTTATTTTCCCAATGAACAGGAATATTTTGGGGAACTAAGACAATGACGGAGTTCATAATTATGCTGTTTTATCTGTGGTTTAGATTATGAACCTAGAGAAAACAGAGACTTCATGTGTATGTTTCTTTATTTTTGTTTATTTTTGTTTCTGATTGTCTTTTTTTAAAAAAATATTTCTCTCCAGCTTCAGTAACCTCTAGTTGCCTTTGTCAGGGAGTACTTTAATCAGCATTGTTGGTTGATGTAACTTCTTCAAGTAATCCAGTTAATTAGTTAGTTGCTTAGTTACTTGAGCATTTGGATTTGGAAAACCAGTTTGTTCTGAATCACTTTTGTGAAAGAGTGTTTCATTTAAATGGATTCTTGTCAAATATCTGCTAGTATTATCTTTTTGTCAGTACTTAGAGCTTTTGTCCAAGACAGGGATAGAGAAAATACAGGCACACAAAGTCAGTCTTTCAGTCAATATAGAATCTTTCAGTTTGACATAATCTTTTAAAATTTCTGATTCACTAGTAACCTCGCAAAAAAAGCCAAAAGAATGCTAAAATTACTGCAATTAAAATAGATTTATTATAGAGATTATCTTCTTTTTCATTTACTTCAGGTTTGCAGAACTTGGTGTTCTGTCTCTCTTGATGATTCAGCCTCTGTCTCTAGGCCATAGAAGCTATGTTAAGTCAGAAATTGGCACTGCAAGTACACTGTGTAAGGAAAGAAATTAAAGGATGCCTTGTCAGTCACGTATTTTAAAACTAAAATGCAGAGTTGATATGATACAAATTTCTGAACTGACTCTCCCTCATTGCCACTGAATAGAAACTATTGAAGGACTTTAGGAAACTGCACACTTCCATGCATAATGTGAAGGGTTTAATGTAAACAAGGAAAAGCTAGGATGTTTGCCTTTTTTTTAATATTCACAGAGTTCTAGGCTGAAAAAAAACTCTAGAGAAAAACAATGAAGAGTGAGACTTGTCCTAACATTGTGACATTTGTCTGGAATTCCTAATATCTTTCAGTCACTTCAAACACTAATAATGGGAGACAAGTATTAGAGATCCAGAGCTAGACCCAAGTGAAGATCTAAAAATTAATAATAGATTTTGACTCTCAATGTTAATATTAAAAAAAAATTTCTATGCTGTATAGGGCATACTTTCTTAAAAGTAGTACTCTAAAATGAAAACAGGTTACAATTAAAATAAAAGAAACAACTGTTCTCAAGTCATAAAAATAAACAAATTCTTCTCATCCCAAAGTAATTCTCACAACGGAGATTCCCTCAAATTCCATATCTGAAAATAGTAATACTGAGCTTTTTAAGTGAAGCATAAATAAATGGATACACAAATGTTGTGCTCTCAGGTAGAAGTTTCATCCAGCAACCACATCTCAGCCCAGTGTGAAGAGGAGAATCAGCTGTCTGTCAGTCTTCCCCTTCTTTTCCTTTTCTCCACATAAAGGAAGTTTGAGTATGTGAAATTGGTAGTCACTGATGTGGATAAGTGAATGACACCTGGGCTGCGCTATGAAATAGTCTTCTTTGTTTTAGTGCTGATTAAATATCTACCTGTAGTGAAAATATTTCTGTGCACACTAATGTCACTGTTAATCTCTTCTGTTATTTATGGGTGAACATAAATTGGAAACCAATTAAGATTCTAAAGTTTATATGAAAAAAAATAACCAAAACTATAAAATCTTGTTTGAGAACAGAATACTTCATTTAAATATTTTGCGGTCTTTGAAATAGACTGCCAAATAAACATCCTGGTATTCTGAAAGAGCTATCTCTGATTCTCCATTTAGTGTTTTCACTGAGGCTGCTTATATAGTTGAAAAGAGGACAATAAATTAGGTCACTGAAACCATAGTGTACTAATCTAACACAATTCAAAAAGGAAAGCAAGATGATACAGTGAGGCAAAGCACAACTATGTAATGTAAATTACATTTCTGTTGAGTATGAAAGTGCTACTTTATCCCTAAAATGCCTATGAAAGAAATTAGCATAGCAAGGACAGTCACAGAATTCATGATTTACTTATCGATGTGTTGATTTTGCAGTGTGTGGTGTCAGGAAAAACTTATAGGCAAATTTTTAGGTGCTTTGCATTTTTATTTAAGGGACTGAAAGCTTTTGGAAAGATTGACAGTGCAAATTATTCTAACTAACTAGTTCTAGGAACCATTTTTATTATTAGAAATTATTCTAGGGAGAAAGAGAAGTGATAAAATAGCTAAAACAGGAATAAACCTCAAAAGGGGCCGGATTGTTAATATTTAAACTAATGTTAGCACCTTGTGTAATGAAGGCATTATGGGAAGTGAGATAATTTTTTTTCTAAGCTCACAAGAATTGTCACTCCTGTGACAAGTTACACTTGTCAAGCCTCCAGAGGCGCCTGTCCTCTAGTCTACATTACCTGACTATGTCACGGCTCCAAATAGACACACAAAACATTTATGGGTACATAAAAAACCACCAGCACCAGTGGTTAAGTATCCTAAAACATCTGAAGCCATGGATTCAATTTTCAGTGGTCCTTGAAGAAAATAAGCATTGTGTAAAAGTGAATTAGTCAAGTGATGAAGAAATCTGGGCAGATGTATGGGGAGTGGAGTGTAGTAAAGCACACACAGGCACATTGCAGAAAGCAAAACAAAAGAACAAGGGTGAATGAGTCAGATCCAGAGCCTGGGTCACATTTGACTCTCAAAATAGAGGTTCTTGTCCTCAGCAAAATTGCAGCATCTAGCCAGAGGAGGTTAAATATATTTATATTGAAAGCACTTTGCAGCTATTTTTTGTTTGTTTGTTTTGTTTTGTTACTTTCATTTCAGTAAAGGCCTCTGCTTCAAACTGCTTTTACTGTATCTGTTTCAATTAGGAGGAGATTTCAAAAGTGATTTGTTTTTAGGAAGGAGAGAAAATATGGTTTCTAGGCTATGTAGTCAGTGTGCTGCAGTTTTTCCAGGTGCTTTTTGTTTGGAAAGAATTTTTTTATGTCAGAAATATTTATTGAGGCACTAAGTTAGGTAACAGCCAAGGATTTGCTTTCCTATAATTTTCACTCATTAAATGATAGGAATATATCTCTTCTAATTAGGTACACTGTGTTTGGTGTCTTTAGTAGCCTATAAACAATTTAATTAAAGAAAAATAATTATTCCTATCCCATAAATTCTTTTTTTTTTTTCTGATATACAGGTGTGTTTTTTAGTTTGACTGTGATATTATACATGACCCTTTATCTACAATCATTCTAGTAAAATTGAAAACAGAGATATTGACTACATCACCATGCTTTTTCATACAATTTAAGGACAACTTGTTTCTTTAATCTAAATTCCTAATATGATGGTGCAAGTTATTGCTCTTGTTTTGAATGTGTCAGTTACATTTTGTTTGCTTCTTATAATCCTATCCAGTTTATTGTCCTCCAATAAGTGGTTAAAAATAGTTTCAGAAATGCGTTTTGTTCAAATGTTAATACCATTTTCAGAATAGAAAGATACATTATATAAGGCCCAGCAGGGTTATTTTTAAAATGCAAAATGCAGATGTATTTATTAGTTTTGCGTTAATTCATAATTCAAATAAGAGTAATGCTATTAATCTACAACAGTCTTTTGGTTGGTTTTTTTAATACAAATGGTCTCATGTTGCTTAGCAGAACAGATATACTGAAGGTTTTACGAGTTGTGCATTTATTAAAAAAAAGTTATTTTTTTCAGTTCCAATTAAAAAAATAAATGAGTGATTTGAGGCATCAGAGCATCAGGGTACAGATTTATTTATTGGAATTTTGTTAATGGGGAACTTTTCATTAGTCTGTTATTGTTTCTGGCTATTTTGTAGTCCTCTGAAATGATACTGCAATGTATTGGTTTTGTACTTTTTAAATATTTTTTTTCTTTTCTTTCTCTGTTTACATCTATGATTGAGAATAGTACATTGCTTCTTTTTTTTAATTTTTACTTCTTTTCAGGACACAGCAGGTTTTAACACCCCCCTTCTCAGACCTCGTGTGATTGGAGAATGGATTGGCCGTGAAGAGAATGATGCAGACCCTCTGGCTGCTGAGATGCTGCAGCCACCAATACCAAGAAATAAAAATGAGCAGTGGGACAGTGAGGATAGCAGCAGTCCTGGAGGAAGGTGGGTTTTTGATCTGCCCTAGAATCATTATATTTTGTGAAACAGAGCTGTCTTACAAAAATTTCATTTCCGAGGGCAGAGTGCACGACTTTTGAATTCCCATGCCATAGTGTGGGCACATGCAGAATAAATAGAAGTTATTAATATGTGACTTTTTTCTTCTCATGCTTTTATATATGATTAACTTAATACCGTTTGGATTCCTTTGGATTTATTCCCATGTGAAAAGTTAAGTGTATTTGGACATGGTTGGGGTCCATTGTGTAATAATGTTGTGATGTATAGCTTCATTCATATGCTTCGTACCCTCCATACCCATCTTTCCAGGGCTGGTAGCAGCTATTTATTAATCTTCCTGACACTTTAGTGATAAATCTGATTTTCTAATTTAAGGGAGAGATAGACAAGGGAAACAGTATCTATGTTATTTTTAACAGGACTTCCTAAATTCATTTTCATTTCACATCTTAGCTTTTTGGTGTTACTAACAAGTCTTTCTCAAAGATACAATTTTGTTCTCTGCAGTAAATAATTTCTGAAGATTTATTGTGCTTGACTGAAACAGTTTGTGCTTCAGATACATGGAAGAGATTATAATACAAGGAGCCCATTTAACATGATTTAAAGATATGTTTATCACAGAAGGTTAAACACTCACAGCCTTGCTTTAAAGGTGTCTTTCTTTTTAAGTGTAAATCTTTGGCACTGCCTCTGTTAATTGGCTTAAACACCTACATTTCTCCCTTAGCTTTGCAGCAGATCACCTAGGTTATAACTAGTACTTTGAGTGCAACAGACACCTTTTTCTTCCTTTTTTTAGAAGGCAGAAACTCTGCTTTCCCTTTGAAAAGGTCTAAGGTATTTCTTCATACTCTTCCATGTGCCTTCTACGTTGGAATTCACATCCTGGTCACACCGCAACTAGTGTGTCACTAGCTGTGTTCTTACAGACTGCATTCATTAACTTTCCTCACATCTTGGGAATATTTGTTATCCATGAGTACTTCATTTAATTAGATTGTCTTGGGGGTGACTGTGAGTATTACTGTTTCAAAGAAGTAGCAGCGTGTAGTAATGATCCCTCAGCCAGAGCTTGGATGGGAACCAGCAAATCTCAGACTCTGCATCTCTCCAGTGCAGTTCCTGGGAAAATAACGGAGTCAGCAACTGGCACTGCAGCTTGATTGTGTAGGCCTGAGTTTCTTTTTCCTTAATCAGCAGTACAATAAAGGCATTGAATAAAGACCTGTTCCATGCTTCAGAGCAAATTGGGGATATTGTATCTCTTCTGTCAATAGGAAAGAGAAGAAATAAGCATCTCTGTTGTATTTCCAGAAGGGAGCAGAGGTCTAGTTCTGAGCAACAGAGATGATTCAAAGCAGCACATTTTTCTCTTTGTAGAGTGGTACAAGCTGTGAGAAACCTCACAGCTAATGCTATAATTAAAAATGTGATTAGTGTCTTTGAGAATAATATTTGAGGAATCTTGTTGAGTATCATGACAAAATCATGTTGCCTGGTGTGTGAATAAGGAGACTATAGGGAACTTCATGCCAGGAAAGACTCGTGGGGTACTGATATCTCTGTTTTTAGGTGCAGTAAGTGCTGAAGGTCTATTGAAAAATATGTATTGCTAAGTGGGAGTACTGATCTTCAGTGGAAATGAGTAACTGCTAAATTACACGCAGCATATGGATTTACATTTGGATGACTGATTTTATGTCTGGGATAATTCTTTGATTCATTAGCATTTCATCAGCTTTTGTATGGCATTTATGAAAACCATGTTTGCAGTCTTGCAAAGGAATCATAAAGTTGCAGAACTTCAAGATAGTAGTGATACTAAAATTGATGCCAACAATATATGGAAGTTTAAAAGACCCATGTTGATCAAGGTTAATCTGAATATTTAATAATAGTTCACTAATAACTGGCAGTTGTTTCAAGGTCTGATTTAGTGTTAAAGTGCTATTGGCAGAATTTTGGAATTGACCGCACATCAAATACACGAGGCAAATACTGGATAATAATAACTTAGTTTTAATGTAGCAAATAACTAGTACATCTAAAAATAATGGGAACAGTATGTTTTGCTCTCAAAAGAGTGACATTATCAGTTGTAAAGAAATTTGGTATGTCATCTATATTTCATTAATCTATTTCATAGTTAATGTAGCCTTAAATAGTTGTTACATTTTGTAAACTTAAGTTTCATTTTAGCAAATGAAAGAGAGAGCAGTTTGAAAAATCCACTTCAATGTTTCAAATTTTATATTGGTAAATTTTATTTAGCAACACTTCTAATAAAAAAGTGATAGGTTATTGATCACTGTTTATCAGGATTTATGGGATAAGTCAGCAAACTCTTAGAAATAATTATAATAGTTAAAATATAAGAATTGGAAAGTCAAAACTGTAATTGTTCCATTATTTCCAGGTTGTATGTTTAGTTTTACCTGTCACTAAACATAAGGAAAAGGTATGTATATGAAACACTATATAAATGTCCAAAGGATTAGACATTGACATTGGTAGAGTAAATGCCATTGGTGTGGTGTGACAGAACCACAATTTCCTCCCTAAAAACATGCATTCCTGTGATGATGCACAACAGAAGCAGACATGTCGTATTTGAAAGCCCAGCCCAGTAACTCAAAAAAAGGGGGAAAAAAGAGCAACTGAAAGGACAGGTGTCATTATTGCTTTGGCTGGGAAAGTCAATGTAGTCAGTCTGAGATCGCTGTATTAGTGATGTCTTTTCAAATGGATGAAGGGTCACCTTTTTGTCCTTTATGTTCTGGGTTGCTACAGAGGAAAGGTTGTGTTTGTCACTGGCTTTGCTGTCTGTTGCTGCTGTAAGGAAGAAAGGCAAGGTATTAATGATAAGAAACCATAGGAAAGTGCTGATGGCAATCCTGCTGGTACCGAGCTCATCTTTCAGAAATTTGAACTCCGTGAAAATATGATTAAACTCATTTCCAAGTCACTGTTAACACTTTTCTATATGAAAAATATCTTGGAGGGATTCTGAGAAGATGCAAGGCTCTTGGAAGTCATCCTCCAGGGATAATGTATGTGCAGAATGGGGAATTTGAGTGGTTTTTATTATGATACTCCTTTCTCTTAGAGTGTGAAATGAATTTGAGCTTGCAGAGGCGCCATCCATAACCTGATGTCCTAAACTCAAAACCTGTTCTTCATCTCCAAGGTGCACTTTATCTTGTTAGTGTTTATCTTTGCTGGAGAAATGAACAATTGTTGATTACACTAAAAATCATATATTTGCAACAATTCTGCCTTCCTGCAACAGACTGTAAGGACAGTAAGGACTGAGGTGGTGGTGGTATGCTCATGTGGGGCACCAAACTTCTGACTGTTTTATGTTGATACAGTAAGGAATCAGAAATGGCAAACTGTAGCAAGTCCTGCCTTAGGCCTTTCTAACATCTGTGCAATTCCAGTTCTCTGGTGTTTAGGTCAGAGACACAACTCTACAAATCAGGAAAATTGTTATAAATATAACAATTAATCCCCTTAATCCTGTGGGGTAATGGTATCAAAACCACTCAAGGGAGCAGGTCTTTGTTGTCAACTTTTTGCTATGTATCAATGCCTTACTGATTACTAATTGACATATTGTTCTGTACATGTAGCTTACTTAGACTTGATTAGTGCACGTAAAGGCAATGGGAAATTTGCCAAATTTAATCAAAACTTTAGAAACTGAAAACACAAAATGTCTTAGGACATCCAGTGGTCTGGGAATGAGTGATGCATTTTGAAGAGAGCACCAGTAAGAGAAAGTTGTGCTTTCCTCCCTCACAGCTTAAAAATGGAGCCAAAGACCAAAGGATTGAAACATCAACAGCAGCAACATAAGAAACTGCTGGCTGCCATGCTTTCTCAGGACTCCTTTGATTCTGCTCAAAGTACAGCTCCATCTGTAACCGAAGAAGACATTGACAATGAAGACGATGCAATGGAACTACTGGGTAACTGCAAAAAATTATATGTATTTTCTGAATTTTTTTATTATAAAAAATCAAACAGAGATTAGTCAGAAACTGCTGCCTATGTTTGAAGCTAAAGTATTCAGCAGCTGTGTGAAGTTTCAGTAGGGCTTAACATGAAAATTTCAGGAGAAATGTAAGGAAGACCATAAATATGTGTGAATAAACTCCCAGCTGCATCCAAATTCCATGAAATCAAACACCTCAGGTGCTTAAAGTAATTAATTTGGTTTCCTACATAAATCCCTCCCAGGGTCTACTTGCAGAATGTATTTCTGTACAAGGAATAGAATCAGCTTCGCTGTCTTTCATCTGGTTCCTCTTTTTGTTAGCTGTATCACAGTTTTAACTTCAATAGATTTTTTTTACTTACTAGCTACACAAAGCTTATGTAATGTGAATTTGTAACCTCTTCAGAGGATTTGATTGTAATTTTCCACTAGACTGTATTGTATCTTAAATCTTAAATTGCGCTCTAGAAGACTTGATGCTTGCTTCTGGCTCCCTTTCCTGGAATTACTGATTGTATTTAATTAATAATAGTTCTAATTGTACTTAATAATTCCTTTTCTGCTATTTTTCAGAGTTCAGTGTATGATGCTTAAAAGGCAGCCATGGATTTCAATATTTGTTCACGATTTCTGTTCTATTGAACTTAATAGTTGATCAAAGCATGGGAAACTCACAATCTCAGAATAACTAAGCCTTCTGAATTTATGAATTATGGCATGATTTTTTTTTCAAGTTGGAGCTTAATCTTAAAATCAGTAAAACACATGCTGCTATTTTTGCTTTCTGTATTTTTGTTGCATCCTTACTATAGTAAGAAACACAGAATAGTTGAGGTTGGAGGGGACTGCTGGAGGTGTCTAGTCCAACCTTTTGCTCAAAAAAATCAGCCATAGCAGGTTCTTCTGAGTGGATTTTGACTTTCACTCTCTCCAAAGATGGAGATTCTACAGCATCTCTGGGCAGCCTGTTCCAGTGCTTGACCATGCACATGGTAAAAAAACCTGAAAAACTTGCTTCATTTATTGTGAATTAATAAAAAATTTCCTTTTCTTTTCCAGTAGTTTTAAATTTGATGCATGCATATTTTTTTTTTTTACAAGAAATAAGAGAATGGCCTGGATCACTCATTGTTTATGTCATACAGGATAGATTTTTTGTTAATTTCTGCGCAGATAGTGAGCAAAATATATCAAATAGATGTACTGGTCTTTTCTTCCAGACACTTGAATCCCTGAAAGTATTTGGAACCAAGAAGACTGTATAAAGGAATTTTCTAGTGTCTTGACATTTGGGTAGAAAATTATCTATGTACAAACTAGTGTTTTGCAGGTTTTTTCATGAGTACTTGATTGTAAGAATTCATTCTAGTTTTGTGCCATACAAAACCTGGAATATTTTTCTATCCTGCAGTTCATCAAAACTGTCTAAGTTTATATACAAAATCAACTTAAAACTAAGTTGACAAACAGGACCTACAGTTTGGGTAGGGTTTTATATAAATTCATGTGAGATTCTGAGGCAAAATTCTGACATATTTGAGGAGAAGCCATGCTTATAGTGGTTATAATATTACCATGTTATAGTAACAACCACTGAGAGAATGTTCAGTATGCACATCTTAGTATTTAAAGTGCTGTGCTTCTGAGAAACTGGCTTTTATTTTAATTCTCATTTTGTAATTTCCTGACAGTGTGTGTGTTATATTTGATATAGTGGTTAGGCTACATTCTCCAGAACTGCTCAAAATTTGAGGCTGTGTTACATGGGAAGGATGTTTTAGTTTTCCTTTGAAGGTAACATAAAGAATTTAGTTTCTAAGAGCAAATATAGGTATTTTTCATTGCTATATTTTCCAGGTCAGTAACTGTTTGATACTGTGATTTTTTTATGTACCACATTAATCCATTAGCTACTTTGATGCTTTTTACACAACTTATATGCAGTATAACTAATTTCAAATCATGGCTTTCTGCCATCACTGAATTGCATAGCATTGTTGTGTATAACTCTTTGATTCATTCTCTCCAGAGTTCAGTATTATTTGTTTATTCAGCTCTTTCTTAAAAAATTACAAAATTTCATGCTCCTAAGTCAGGATTCTGGGAAAACAGTTCTACTATTCATAGCAGATAATTTAAAGCGTACACTATATGTAAAATGCAGAATACAAACATCCATCTTTAGGTGTGTCAAGTGAACCTTTTCCAGAGTTTGGTTGATTTATTTAGATACTAAAAGCATGAAGCTGACTTTTTGCATATTTTCTCTAAAACAACCTCCATCTCCTAGGTGAGTCAATGAAGGTTTTAGCTAGAATTCTTTCATATGCTGAATAAAAGAAACTATTACATTGTTATCCATTTAAAAAGAAATGTATGTGCAAAGAAGAAAAAGAATGTTACAGGGCTATATTCTGATTTTAGTTACCACTTTTTATATGTAAGATAAGATGCATAGGTGGGCTGTTCCCATGCTGACTTTTTAAGTGTGTTCAGTTTGGCAGGTGGCTGAAATAGATTAGTGACAGATAACATAGTGGAAAGGATCTTCTTGACTTGAAAAAGCTGAGAACTGTAACTGTTAATTCACATGTGTTTGTAAATGTTAAAGGGTCGTGCAGTTGATGTTTGGGACAAAATTATATCAAGGGACTGTTTTTTACACATCCTAATGCCAAGTATTGTGTTTTGTAAATCTAACCAGGAGCTGACATAGTTCTTTGAGAAATTCTGCAGCCATTTTGGAGTTCTATGACATTTGGGCTTAAGCTCTCACATTTGGCTGAAGTCCACTGAGACTTTGAAAGGATGTTATTCCCTCACTGATATCTCACTGATTTACATTGGAGAGGACTGAAATGTTATTTTCCCTGAAATTGCTGTGAATAGTGATTATACAGTCACCAAAGCATGACTCGTTTGGTTTTGAAAGAATCAATTCTTTGACAAAGCGTCAGAGTATTATTAAGTGTATTGCTGTGCATAAACATACACATAGTAAAAGGATTTTTGTAGCATACTTGGACTTAGATATACATTCTTAAAGTTTTTGCAAGTAAGGAAGATGAGAAAGACATTCTGTGTTTTACACCATAACGGTATAGAGAACAAGTCCTGTGAGGAGCAGCTCAGGGGACAAGGGTTGTTTAGCCTGGAGAAAAGGAGGCTCAGAGACCTTATTACACTCTCTAACTTCCTGAAAGGAGGCCATGTGGAGTTTTCTGTCTTCTCCCATGTAACAAGTGATAGGACAAGGCCACAAGTCATGCCAGTGGAGATTTAGGTTAAATATTAGGAAATGTTTCTTCATGGAAAAGTTTGTCAAGTATTTCAACAGGCTGCCCAAGGAAATGACTGTCACCAGCCCTGGAGGGATTTAAAAGATGTGTAGATGTGGCACTCAAGGTTTAGTGGTGGACTTGGCAGTGGTAGGGCAATGGTTGAACTTGATTATCTTAATGGTCTTTCCCAGCCTAAATGATTCTGTGATTCCAAGATATTGAGTCATAATGCTCAAGTAGCAATTTCTTGGTTTTGCACAATCTTCCTGTATGTTCACAGTACTACAAGTGTTACGATGTGTTAACAGATCCTATGCAGTAGTTAACTCTGTAGCACCACTGCAAAAGGTACCCATTAAGCTCACTGACACAACTATGGTTGAAGTGAAAGGTGGTGATAACTGAAGCTGATTTCCTGCAATTGATGCATATACCAGTCTGTATGATTCTGAAGAGCCTCACTGATTTCAATACAAAGAATCTTATATTTAGAGTTTGGAGCATCAGGACTTGTAAAACCATCTCTTCTTTTCTTTGGAGCCGGTTTCACAAAAATGCTTTTTTTTCCATAATCTATAAGTCTTAAGTGAAAGTTCAGTGATTGATTGCTTCATGTTTATTATGTGTAATTCCTTCTATACAGTAATAAACCAGAATCGCTGAAGATAGAAATGCACTTCAATTAGTAATAAACTTTTTGATGATTGCTTTAGAAGATACCTGATGTGTTCTCTTTGCTTTAATAACTCTTCTTCTAATATTTAGAATTTCTTTTTTCTATAAGAGCTTTCAAATGTTAAATATTTAATCATTTTAACACCCTTGAAATGTTGTCTGGTGATAGATATATTTACATTTTATAATACAAGGAGATAAATAGAATATTGTGGAGATTGCATTTGCCTGAAGGATGAGACTGTAGCTCAGTGTCTGGTAGTCTACCCCTTAAATATCTATATTGCTTTTCTATTGAGCCTCTGAGCCCCTAATGATAGGGTGTTCAATCTGCAGTGTTTTCAGTACATTTCCTTTGGTTTAACAGACGTTCCTGATTTCCTTGGTTCCTGATAGTTTTTGACACCATGCAGGAAACTGACTCTTAGGCATGATAAATTATACTAATACTAGCAAAAGGTTGTTCCTTTTTGTTCACTTTCACAGATGAACAAAACTTTCTCCATTATGTGACTAGAATACATAATTTTTCAGGAAAGAGACCACAAAGCCCTAGGAAAGATAATCCGAATTGTAGTTCACCTTCAGAACAGTTTTCTGGCTTGTAGCTGGTTTTGTTGTGATTTAAGTAGAATGATAGTGTGGGAGAAAGACATATGAATTGCCCCTAATGTTCCCTTTCACTGAGTCTTCTGTTTTTGGAAACTATTGGAAAATCAGCAGAACTACCAATGGGCATGTGCTGTGTAGGGAATGCACAGAAAATGACACCTCTGGGAGACAGGAGGCCTTCTCTGCATGTAGAGGCTGACTGTGCTGTACACTGCAAAGTTTTCAGTGGCAGATACAGTGCACTGGTGTGTGTTTAACAGATGTCCTCTAGAAAAGCACTCAGGCTCCATCAGGTGTGGGTTTAAATATCTTTCTGAGGTAAAAGTTCAGCAAATACCATATTCAGACTTTTTTGTCTGGAAATATATAAAGTCACTGAGCAAGAGAAATGTACTGGTCTGTT